GGCTAAATCTATATATTAAACCAGTAGTTACAGTTGTGTGTTACCAAAACTGCGCAAAGACTATCTATCAAAGCCTAACGAGAGCTTTTCTGTACAGGTTACAAAATCGTGCAGGTTATAAGAGCTTTCTATTTAGTGCACCCATCCACAGGCTCCTTATCGATCGCTTTCCTTTTTGAAAGACACGAAATAATTCTAGTAACCACCTCGTACCCAACCTTCCCACAACCCATGTAGTCACCACCCACTTAGGATTACAACCAGTCTCCCATGTACACGAAATGAGGGCTTCGTCACGCTAATGTTTAGGAGCGCGTAACGAAGCCCTAAGTACTTCTTTGCGGAAGCTTACATTACAACGCGTGCCAAAGAAATATCCAGTTTACCTTAATTAATGTTTCAGGTGCATCATTCAGAACAACACTCTTTTCCACAAGAGGAGACTGTTTTACTCAAATCGCCAAGGCATTTGTAAAAGCAGGACCTGCATTCTCTGAGTTTGCGTAACCGCGTTTGTAGGCCATGTCTAACATATAAGTATAATTAAAATTAATAATAAGACAAACCTGAAGGTAGCATGAGGCTTAAGGCAAGGCTACAAATAAGGTTAGCGATCAGTTTGGTAAAACAACAACATGACGCAAATTATACCAAACAGTGCAATTTTTTTCCAAACTTACCTTTCCTTGTAGAAAGAGACGTCACAGCTACCAACAGCATAGAAAGAAATATATAAATGGCAGGCTTCATTTTGGAATGATGCAAAAACAAACCCAGCCAAAATCCTGTGTACAATAAAACATGCAGTCTCATGTAAGTAAAACTATAGTTTTTATTATAATACTGCCACGTGTAGCGCGCACGTACGTATTTCGGACGTTAACAATTTCTTAAATAAACAATCAATGAAATGATAACTTGGCAAGAATATGAACTATTTTCTTGGCGAATTTTGTTATTTCGATCGGTGACTCGTCATTGATTTTTTATTTTGCGGGAAGTACTCGCGTGGTCGTTCGCCGGCATTCGCTTTGTTGATAAGTTGCAAATAGTAAAATGTTTTGTCAGAATACTCCTATTATATATCTAGCCGAATTTTTGAAAACATACCTCAAAACGGACCAGAATATTCGCACAGGAACCTGGCGATAGCCAGGTTTTTGGTCACTGCGGTGAGAAAAAACGTAGGGGGCTGGTTGGTCTCATTGTCAAGCTCAGTCCCTGAGCTAACTCGCCATGGGTTGGGAAGGGGCCTCCATATCAATCCCTAGGGGAGAGGGTGCTGCAAAAGCGTGGTACCGTCCGTAAGTCTTGCTCTGGGAGAGTCAGTGCACTCGTCATGTCCGCCTTTAGTTTGTCATGTCAAATTATTGTAATGTTTGAGGCCCATTGGCCAATGAAAGCATTCCCCTCAAGCACTTGCTAGGCTGGGGGGGGGGGGGGAGAGGGTGATTTAACCTTGAATTCTCTGCTTAGAACTTGGTTAAATCTCAAGCATCCTCTATCATTTTGAGCCTTCAAGCAGCTAGAGTGTATGGCCAAGTCCAGAGTGTCTTTTTGATGGCATTGAATGTTTATTTTGCTAATCAGGAACCAAGAAGAGAACCATGGGTAAGAGCTGAGTTTCTTGACAATATTCACTTTAGTTGAGTCACACGGTGGTCGGTTGCTAGGGCTTTTGCTCCCACACCTCTCAAAACTGAGAGTTTTAGGCCATATAGAGAAGTAGAATGCATCGAATGTAACAAAACTTGGCAAGGAAGTAATTTAATAAATTACCTATTTATTGGTCTTATTTCATCCCATGTGACTTCTATTGTGACGTCATAAATGATGTCCAAATTTGGCATCAGAAAGAAAATTCAGGAAAGAAATGGTAAAAATTTTACGCTAGTTTTCTGTATAGAATTCTATGATTTCTGGTGAAAGCCCCATCTCAATCAGATGAAAAGGCGCAAAGTTACATTTAATTAAAGAAATTCAAATTTCCCGCCAAATGACCATATATGGTCAAACTTTAGGGGTATTTTAACGCGAAAGCAATGAAGGTAGTCGCAACGGAGCAAAGACAAGTTTGCATAAAAACAAAATTGTAGTTTTTTGCATTTAGGATGTGTGGTCTATGACGCGTATTTCGTCACGAATTACGTCATTTTGACTTCATAATGAGGTAATTTTTGACGAAATACGCGTCATAGCACCACATAAGCCGAATTCAAAAAACTACAATTTTGATTTTATGCAGCTTTGTCTTTTTTCCGTTGTAAATACATTCATTGTTTTCGCGTTAAAATACCCCTAAAGTTTGACCATATATGGTCATGAGGCGGGAAATTTGAATTTCTTTAATTACCTGTAACTTCACGCCATTTTATCCGATTGAGATGGGGTTTTCACTGTAAATATTGTTTTTCTGTAACAAAAATGTTTGTAACATTTTGAACACCGCTTATCAAATTTTTAACGTTGTTACTAAAAATAGGTGTCACTTATGACTTCATGTTTTCAAGAAAAGTCAAAAATACCTTCACAATTGTAAAAATTTAAAGAAAACTTTTCTCCAATTAAGATGTTCTAATGTTTTGCTTCATTTGAAATATAAACTACCCTTCTGTAAGCCAGAAATTGAATTTAAGAACCTAATGGGAGCAAAAGCCCTAGCAACCGACCATCGTGTCAGTTTAAGGTGTGTGGCCTCCAGGAGCCCACTGGTGCGGTTTTCATAAATCCGGCTAGATATATCGTATATATAAAAAAAGATCATGTGTTCGAGATATGAACCACTGCAGGCAATAACATGTTATGCTTTACTTGGGTAGTCAGTTCTTTATTGAGCTGTTGTTATTTGTCGAGCAGTTTATTAACCTTGCCAAGCGCTTACTTACTCTGCCTCAGTTGGGTAGTCAGTTCTGTTGTTATCTTTAGAGAAGAATATTTAACCAAACCTTACTACAAACCTGGCTTTTCTCAGTGGGTAGCCAGTTCTAAGTTTGTCGAATTTCTAAATTATTTCAACTGTTACAATAGAGGCTTTTGCTTTGAACTTTTTTTTTCATCTCTTTTTTATAGGGAATTCAACCCATGGGACGCACAATATTCTTCAATTCAAGGAATTCAAGTTTTCATTTTTTGCTCCGGGTTTCTTGCATTAAACTTGGCAAATCTGCATTGCTATCTAAGCTAGGATAGCCTTTTACACAGGAAAAGGCGTTAACGCAGAGCCCACAAGCGTATTTAACCCAGCGTTGTAGAAATACGCGAGCAAGAATTACTTTAAAATCCACGCGAGCGAAACGAGGGAAAGTTAAGGAGAACGTTCCCTCATTGACGTGTAGTGTCTCTTGCGACTTAAAAGGTGTCATAACGCGCAACCGAATACCAACTAAAAAAGCGGTCTCTGGAGCGATGTTTGCGACACCTAAACTTGCGAAATGCGTCCTTTATAGTTACACTTGGGCCTTGTCCACACGTATCCAGATATTTTCGAATCCGCAACTTTTTTGCCCTGGCTCTAGACGTCCGTTCTAGATATGCCTAATATGAAGTAAACCGTGCTTACGGTTTGATAAGGGCAGACGATGCGTAAAGTAAATTTAAATTTTTCATTGCTGTTATCATTATTTTAATTTACTATTTACTGTAATCTTTAACTGCTGCTTATTTGAAATCCTTGTAAGTAAATATGTATAGCGCAAAAAACCGGCAAGCTTAACTTAATCTAGCCTCCCACGCAGACTAGGAACACGTGACGAACCCCTTAAGAACGTCTGCGTGGGAGGCTAGTAAACTTAATCATACCTACCCGCCTGGACTCGTTTTAACTATTCGTGGGTAGGTACTATTCAAATTGTAAATATCTGTTTCCTAATAAAGTGTGTTGTTGTTGTTGCCTGATCGCAGGTTACTAGCGTTGTTTTAGTCATCTTCCTTTCGCGGTCTGCTTCTCACTTGGATAAACTGCTGATTTCCGACATCGTCCAATAGCGGTAAATTCGAGTTCACATGTTGACGGTTTACGGGCACTTTTGTGAGTTCACACTGCAGTTAAACCTACCAAATCGTTTGCTAAGATTGTAATGATCACTAGCCTCTGTGAGTCTCCCTCTTAGTTTTCACCTTAAACTACTGATATCATTACTACCGTAATACTAATACTTATATTTTTCGACAACACAATGGGCCCATGGAAGTAAATCGATAGCAAGGTAGTTAAAGTCACATCACGGCGATGATTTATATCAAGGAAGAAAAAGTCAGCTTTCATGGGAGGCAACTTATATCAAGGAAGAAAATAATTGATTCTCAAGGTGTAAACTGTTACATATAACAATAGTATAAGAACCTCGCCAATAATATGTTACGCCACATAAATAAACAACACGTCAATAAATAATTATTTAACAAATGATGCATCTCTATAGAAAAATGATATTAAGGTAAAAAAATGTGTCTTTGGAAAATAAATTCATGCCTATCTAGGCAGAAAAATACACATCGTGGTCGTAAAATCATATCAAGACAGAAAATGTTCCAATGCGGTAGTGAATTAAAAATGGAACAATGTGGTATGTCGTAGTACATGGATATTATAATAAAAACTATTTAAAAACACTGGTAAATCGATTTCACCTCGAATACATTTCACATGATTTGTTACGCCACATTACACAACACATCAACTGCGTCAATACTCAAGATATTTTGAAAGAAACGGCGCGCCATATTAAAACGTACTTTGAAGATATTACCTTAGAATGGCTGAGTAATTTTTTTAAGATGGCTAGAGAATGTGATTATTTTCGGCAAAGAAAGTAGTTATGAAAACGGGTATTGTACACCGCGTCCCAGAATTAAATACTTTCGTTAATTTATCAAATAATAAAATCCCAGAATTTGCAAGAGACTACAAAAAAGAATATCTTTACATAAGAGGATTAAATAAAATTAATTATAATTTAAACTTTTTCGTCTTTTAATATAATCAGTTATTAAAAGACGTCATGTCTAACCAGTTTGATAACGGTTTTCAGGGTTCTCAACCCTTTATAACAGATAATGAATATAAGAGTTTATCTCTTGATCAATTAAGATATATATTAAATCAAAAGAAAAAAACAATACAAAAAAGCTATAAGGAATTAAGTGAAAAAGAAAAAATAATTAGAGATATAAGAAGACTTGATAAGCGTAATGAAAAAGTAAAAAAAGGAGTAGATATAAAGAAAAAATATAAGAAAAAGAAAGCCTCCATCAAAACGGTGGCTCCCTCTAAAAAGAAAAAGATAAAAACATTTGATGAGTATTTTGAGGAATGTATAAAAAATAAAGAGATTCTCAAAGATACTCCTTCTTATTTTAGAGAAGCTCTTGAACGCGCTATTAAAGAATATGACCAAGGTCTTGTAAGAGAAAAATCATCTCTTAAAGATTTTGCAAATAAGTACACGATTGAAGGAGTTTTTGGTTACGACCCAATTCAGTTTTTTGATTATATAAATAACACATTAGTTGATTTTTTTACCTATCATAGAAATATAAAATTTACGTTAAATTTAGTTTGCATGATGGAAAAACAAGAAACAAATCAAAAGACTGGTCTTTTTAATATAGAAGAAGATAAGGCCTATTTTAATACATATACATTTACTAATTTAAAATCAACTGATGTTGATGAATTAATTTATAGATGTACTGAATCTATTTTAGGTCAAATGGAAATGTATGCAGAAAGATCAAGTAATTGGGTTTTTAAAGAAGTAGTAAAACTAGAAATTCATACTGTTGAATTTAACCCAGCAAAGGGCTCATCTTATATTGTACTTCCAGATTGGATAAAGAATAAAAAAGCAATTGTTAATATTAAAAATAAAGATGACAAATGCTTTCTTTGGTGTATACTTAGATATATTTACCCTAAAGAATCACATGAAGAAAGAGTAGAAGATTTAAAGAAGTATGAGTTTTCACTTAACACTAAAGGTATTACTTTTCCAATGAATGTAAAAGATATTACCAAATTTGAAAAACTTAATCCAGAATTACCAGGAATAAATGTTTTTTCTGTAGATGATAAAAATGATATTTATCCTTTGAAAGATTCAAAAAAAGATTGTAAAAATACTATTGATTTATTTTTAATTGAAGAAGATGGAGCCTCACATTATACTCTAATTAAAAATTTTCATAGGTTAATAAGGTCTCAAAAAACTAAAAGTAAGGATGGTAAAATATTTATTTGTAAGAGATGTTTTACTCATTACACCAAAGAAGAATTACTAGATAAACATATTAAATATTGTTCTAATAATCAAACAACACTTGTAAATATGCCCAAACCAAATACATATTTATATTTCAAAAATTATTATAAACAACTACCTATTCCTTTTGTAGTTTATGCAGATTTTGAATGTTTTACAAAACCAATGAATAGTTGTAGTCCTAATCCAAAAGAATCTGATAATTACAACTATCAAAAACACGAGCCATCAGGATTTTGTTTTTATGTTAAAGGTATAGTTGATAAAAAAAATTAAACCAATAATTTATACAAAAACAAGTGAGGATGAAGATATATCAAAAGTAGTTGTAGAAAAACTTACAGAAGTAACAAAAGGAATTTATAACGATTTTTATCGTAGACCGAAACCTCTAAGACTAACACAATCTGAACAAAAATCATTTGAGAATGCAGTTAACTGTCACATTTGTAGTCGTGAATTAAGAGAGGATAAAGTTCGAGATCATTGCCATTTTACAGGACAATACCGTGGAGCAGCACATAACAAATGTAATCTTCAATGTCGAAAACCAAAACTACTTCCAGTTATATTTCACAATCTTCAAGGTTATGATGCTCATCTGTTTATAAAACAACTTGCTAGATTAGATGGTGATTTAAATTGTATTCCATCAACAGAAGAAAAATATATTTCATTTTCTAAAAGTATTAAAGTTGATGAGATTTATTCTTATAAAGTTGGTAAAATGATAGACATAAATTTTGAAATACGGATTTTTAGATTCATTTAAGTTTCTTCAAACATCACTTTCTAATCTTGTTTCAAATTTATCCCAGAATGATTTTATTAATACAAAACAAATATTTAAAAAAAATACAGAACTATTAACTCGTAAGGGAGTTTATCCATATGATTATGTTTCATCACTTGATAAATTATCAGAAACATGTTTACCTCCAAAAGAGGAATTCTATTCAAAACTAAACGATGAAGACATAACTGATGATGATTACCAACACGCAATAAATGTGTGGAATACTTTTGGCTGCAAATCAATAAGAGATTATCACAATCTTTATTTAAAGTCTGATGTCCTACTGCTAGCAGATGTATTTGAAAACTTTAGAGCAACTTGTCTTAAACACTACAAATTAGATCCAGTTCATTATTACACATCTCCTGGATTAGCTTGGGATGCATGTCTAGAAACAACAGGACAACATTTACAGTTATTACATGACTATGATATGTTAATGATGTTTGAGAGAGGTATACGTGGTGGAATAACACATATATCAAAAAGATATGCAGTAGCAAATAATAAATATATGAAAGGTTATAATCCTGATGAGGAGTCAAGTTATATTCAATATCTGGATGCAAACAATCTTTACGGTTGGGCAATGTCTCAAAATCTAGCAACACATGGATTTAAATGGATGAAGACGATAACAAAAGAAAAGGTAGAGGATATTCTAGAAAAAGCAAATCATTGTATGTTAAATATGGGGAGGAAAGGATATATATTTGAAGTTGATTTGGAATATCCACCACACCTATGGGATTCACATAATGATTATCCTTTAGCACCTGAGAAGATGATTGTTAATGGTGTTGAAAAACTAATTTGTCATTTTAAACCACGAAAAAATTATGTTGCGCATTATCGAACTCTTAGGCAATGTCTTGAGTTGGGTATGAGAATTACTGCTGTTCACAGAGGAATATCATTTTATCAAAGATCTTGGATGGAACCATATATCCGAAAAAATACAGAACTTAGAAAGATAGCAGCCAACAGTTTTGAGAAAGACTTTTTTAAACTAATGAATAATAGTGTATTTGGTAAAACAATAGAAAATATAAGGAAGCGACAGAATATAGAACTTGTTGATAATCGTAAGAAAGCTGTAAAATTAACAAGTCGTCCAAACTTTGATAGATGTACAATATTTGATAAAAATCTTATTGCAGTTCATATGAAAAAAACAGAAATTTATTTTAATAAACCAGTATATGTTGGTCAAGCAATTCTAGATTTATCAAAAACGCTGATGTTTAATTTCCATTACAAATACATACCAGAGAAATATGGAAATAGGGCTGAGTTATTGATGACAGATACAGATTCATTAATGTATCAAATTAAAACAAAAGATTTTTACAAAGATATAAAACCCGATATGCTAACCAAGTTTGACACTTCTGACTATCCAACAAATCATAAATCTGGAATACCACCAGGAGTTAATAAAAAAGTGATTGGAATGTTTAAAGATGAAGTAGCAGGAAAACAAATTACTCGTTTTGTTAGATTGCGACCCAAACTTTATAGTTTTGATATTGAGGAGGATAAGGAAGTGCGAAAGTGTAAAGGAATAAAGAAAAATGTAGTAAAAAAAGGATTAAAATTTGATGACTATGTTAAATGTTTATTTTCAGGTGAGAAAGAAATGAGAAAGATGAAAATAATAAGAAGTGAGAAACATGAAATATATTCAAAGGAAGTAAATAAAATAGCTCTAAGCAATGAAGATGATAAGAGAAAGATTTTTAAAGATAATATTCATACTTTGGCTCTTAGATAAAAATTATTTAAAGTTAAATAAGTAATAAATAATAAATGTCTTATAAAGAAGAAATAAAAAAAATATTTAGAAATATTAAATAATTATAACAAACCTATGCAGCAAATTTCTCCAAAATCTAAATGTTTAGGTTGTCCAAATACAGAAAGTTTTACAATAGATTTTGGTCAGAAAATCTGTGATGAATGTGGTACAGCAAACGGGCATGTATTAGGATTTTTTGATGTGAAAGATTATGATAGGCTGTATTATAGAAAAAAGAGTATTTATCATAGGAAATACCATTATGAGAAAAAGGTTAATCAGATTTCTAAATTAATAAATCTTAATGATGAACAGAAATATGAACTTTACGACAGACTAATAAAAATAGATAATTACATCATGGAAATACTAAACAAGCAATACTTTAGAAAGAGAATGATAAATATTAATTATTTAACCAAAAAACGTTTGGAGGAAATGGGGTGTGAAAAGTATAAACTTATTGTACTTAAGATTAGCCCCCAAACTTTAGAGATTTATGAAAAGTGGTTGGATAGTTATAAAAAGCTTAAAGATTAATAAATATATAAAAAAATGATTAAACAAATTGATGTCTTACCTGAAGAAGGAGAAATGAATGTTAAAACTGAAATGAATGTTCCACCAGAAGAAATAATACAAGAGTTTACTACCAGACAAATTTATGCAATATTATTTCAAAAAGAATTTTATCCTTGTAATAGATTTGAAATAGGAAATAATAATAATAAAAAAGTTTTTATTTGTCATAGTGAACTTAAAATAAAAGAATTATTAGAATCTTTTGAAGAAGATGAATATCATTTAATAAATGAATATTTAAATAGTTATCCAGCTCCTCGAATAATAGTACATGGAAAAGATTATGATAAAACATATAGGTATCACTACAAAGAACCAAAAAAGGATGATGATAATAGATATAATCTTGATTTGGAAGAAATGGATAAAAAAGTAAAAGAAATAGCAAAAAGATATCTAGAAGATGGTTTTGGAACAATTAATTTACTAAGTGTAATATAAAATAATTTTATATTAAAATTTAATATAAAATTTTACAAATAACTATAATCATTATCAATTACACTATATAGATTTAAAAATGCTTTTGTTTTAAAATATAAATCTCCACTTATTTCATCATCAAGATCTAAATTATTAAGAGTTTGAAATATTATACTAATATCTAAACTTCCATTTTTAACTTTATCTGTTACACATTTTAAATCATCCTCAAAATTATTTTCATCATAATCTTCATATTCTATTCCCCATGTATTTTCTATTTCTTTTACGGTAACATTATAATTTTTAATTTTTTTATAAACAAGGTCTTTTAAAAAATTATTTTTTACTTCTTTCATTTCTATAAAATTTTTGAGTATATACTCATCATGTAAAACGTCAAATACTTTTTTTATTAATTCTTTTCCAAGTTGTTCAACATCTTTTTTTCTAATAATAACAGCTGCCATTTTATATTTAGATTATACTATTCCTTTATGAAAAATCCAGTAACATATTCCAGTTAAATAACCAAGTACTTCACTATTTATTGGAGAATCAAATACATATACACATCCTCTTCCAACTTTGCAATGTTTATGGAAAGATTTAAAAGCTCTGTAAAACATAAGATGATTGTTTAGTATAGGATTACTAGATTTGATAGATCTATTTTCTAATTTATATATTATTGTTTCGATATCTATAAATTTTTTAAAAGTAGTTTCATATAAAAATCTATAAATTAGAGTTGTTTTTATGAGATTTTCTGAGTAAGAAAGATGTTTATATTGAGGGTAGTAAAAGTTAACATAATGTACAATTGTGTTTATCATTTATATATTTATTTATATTATTTTGAATTTTTTATTTAAAAATTAACTTAGAATAATATAAATGGAAACTATAAGAAAAACTATCTCAAATGAAATAAGAAAATGGAACTCAATTGATATGCAATTGTTTGTAATAAATGATCGTATAAGTAGTTGTTATAATATTCTTATTATTGGTGATTATGATGCTAAAAAAAATTTTTTTAATATATTACATTATCTAAAAATGAAAAGAGACTACATATATATTTATTAAATTTTATCACAATAACATAAAAAAGACATCACATAATGAGAAACTATTACATTATCTTGAATCAATTTTATTAGCTAATGGATTTGATCTAAGTAGATTGTAAAGTATTTTTAAAATAAAATTGAATTATTGTTTAAAGATAAAAATGATAAAATATAATGTCTAATTTGTTGGAAAAAGCTTTTAAAAATAAAGAATTAGGTATTAAAATAACTCTTATATTGACAAACAACAAATTATTTGGTTTCGAGGGAAAGATGTTGCTGAGATCCTTGGTTATAGTAAAACAAGAGATGCATTATCAAGACATGTTGATAATGAGGATAAAAAACAATTATTTACTTATCATACCAGCGTCCACAAAACGGGGACGGTGGCTTCAAGTGGTAGTATGTGCACTTATATAAATGAATCCGGTTTCTACTCTCTCGTTCTTTCATCAAAATTAGAAACCGCAAAAAAGTTTAAACGCTGGATTACCTCAGAAGTATTACCATCAATTCGTAAATACGGGCAATATAATCTATTTGATAGTCCATGGAATAAAATGATAATGATTAGTAATGAAAGAGACCTTCATTACAAAGTTGTTCAACTGATTAGAAATTATTATCCTAATTCTTTATTAGTAGCTGGATTGGGAGAGAATCAAGATACAGAGGAAAAAAGACTAGATTCATATAAGAAAGGCTATCAGCGTGGCCAACCTGATCTGATGATTCTCGATTACCATAAATATTACAAAGGTCTATGTATAGAATTCAAATCACCAACTAACAATTACGAAGTATCAGAATCTCAAATGAAAATGAAAGAGAAATATTGTAAAAATGAATACGCGTTTATTCTCAGCAATGATTACGATAAGATCAGCAAACTAATACATAAGTATATGGCTGGCGTTCGTATTCCTTGTGAATATTGCTCAAAAGCATTTCGTAAAACAAAAACTTTAAATAGTCACTATAGGATATTTCATCGTATTGAGAACAACATATAATTTCTAAATAATAATTATTTAGAAATAAATATATTTTATTACATTATTGATTTAATTTCATCTAGATAGTAAAAACAATCTAAAAATTCTTTACACTTCTTTTTATCCTCTAGGTTGACTTCTTTCATTTTAACAAGTTTGGTAGAAAGATTAAAAGCATTACTAAGAAATACTTCTTTATCAACTGTATATTTATCTTCCAACTCTTTAGTTAAATCTTTACCTATTAAACTTAGAGCACTTTCAAATCGTTCTATAAAACTTTTTTTTATTTTATGAAGATCTTCCATTTACTAGTTACTTATATTAAATTTCTAAATAAAATATTTTATTTAGAAATATTATGCTTCTAAATACTTTTTACTTTCCTCTAAATATTTTTCACATCTTTCGTAAAAATTATCATATGTATAATAATTTATCTCATTCTTATCAAATTTTAAACAATATTTACAATATAATATTGATTTAAGTATTATTATCTTTTTATCAAACACTAATAAGGCTTCAATTCTATCACAAATATCATTTCCTTCTTTAACTAGAGTGTCTTCCATTTTAATATTATTATTTTAATCTTTAAATTATTTTTCAAATTTATTTTTTGATATTAGCAACAATATCAAAATTTTATATTTCATTTAGTCTCATATGTCTCATATCTAACCAACTTTTTCTTTCTATTATATCGTTATTAACTTGATTAAAAGTAGATTTGAAGCGATGAAAGTTAATTACATTTTCTATATAATTTTTACATCTTTCAACTAACTTTTTATCAACACAATCTACTAAAGAAATAAAATTACAATAAGTATTAGCTTTTTCTACCATCAATTCATCATTATCACAAATTATAGAATCAACTTCTTTACAAATTTCTTTTCCTTCTTTAGCTAAAATGGATAGGTAAGAAGTAATAAATTGTTTTTCAATTTGTTCCATTTTATTTATCATTTATATTAAATTTTTCATTATACCTACTTTCAAATCTATCCGCTATTGGAGTTTGATCAATTATCATTTCATCTATCAACTTCATACGATCAACAAACTCTTGTTTACTCCACTCATCTCCTCTAAGTGCAGCTCGAAGTTCAATAAGAACTTTTTCATAAGTGGTAAATGCAATCCTTGACATTTCAATTTTTCTTTTGTAATTATTTTTCTTTCCTACTCCAGCAATAATAACTCCAGCACCATTTACAACTCCAAGAACTACAGGGTTAAGTGTTATTCCACCACTAATAGTTCCTATTGCTACCAAACATAACCCAGTGATTGTAAAAAAATTATCAAGAAATTTATAACTCTTATAACATTTCTTAAAACACCAGTATTTCTTATGGTAATGACTATAAAAGTCTTTTAGGGTTTTAACGTCTGATTCTGAAAGAGATTTTTCTATGTGATTAAATTCAAAGATATCCTTCATTTATATCTATACTATATAACTTCCATTTAACTTTTCTTGAAGAATTACTTTATGATATTGATCAGAGTCGTCATCGTAAAAGTTTGGAGAATACATTATTTTGCTTAACACTCCATCATCAGTACTAAACGTAAACTCTTGTTCAATGGTGTAACGAACTGTTTGTAAACTTAATATTGCACTGTAGTTACTTATTTTAGCTTTTGTAATATTTTGGTTAAAATCTTCCGCCAACCATATAACAATTTTTTTTCCATTAAAATCATTTGGTATGGTCAAAGAACTTTTTAGTTTATTAACATTTAAACTTACTTCATTATCTGAAGAAGAATAAGCTAAATTTAATAAAGTAGCTCTACTATTTGAATCTTTTTTCTTTATACTAAAATTTCTATTTCTCCAATGATAAAAAACAATACATAAAGTATATTTTGTAATACCGATAGGAGGAGAAAAACCAATAGTATAACCACTAACATCTAGTCCTTCTTTTTTTATATCATCTATGGTTCTATTAGGTATACCCATATCAATTAAAGGATTACCGCTAGTAGAAGTTAAATTGTTAAAAACAATACCAGATGAGGTTCTACTTAATTTGTAATTAGCGGCATTAGTAAAATCATAAACTTCTTCAAAATATTTTCTGTACAAATTATGTGTAGTAAAAGGATGAATTTCTTTTACCATTCCAACTGTTGCAACACTATTGTTATTGTTTCTATCAAGATTGACGTTCAATATTTTTTTATTATTTGCATTAATATCAACATTGTACACCACTTGTGTTGGTTTGATATCAAATGCTGTGTGATAGTCGTAAACTTTATCTGGATCGATATTGCTAAATGTTCCCACAATTCCATAAGTAATTAAATAAACCCCCAAAAACTGTCTCGGATAAATAGCCAAGTCAGTTCCATCTTGTGGTATATTAACCAAAATGTGAAGAAAGAACTTATTACCAGTTGTCAACTTCCGGAAATTAACTATTATTCTATGGTAATACATAAATTGTGTTTGTCCCTTTGAATCGCTGTACCTATGGGAGAGTTTCCTTACACTAACATTTCCAATTGATAATCCTGTTGAAGTTCCTTTGTCTACACTTATTTGTGACTTATACCATAGTTGATAATCAGTGTTAAGTATTTCAAGACAAAGGGTATAGTCAACATTTGCAGTTAACCTGTAAAAGTTGATTCCCATTTTATACTTGTACCCACCTTGAGAATTTTTGTTTATACCCATAAAAATAACTTTGTGATTATAATCATGAAAGTTTCCTTTGTTTGGTGTTAAATCTCCTATTCTTTTATAACAAAACTGGTTCCGGTATCTATTTCATCAGTCCATTGAGATCCACTAGACATAAGATAAGCAAACTGGTTGTTGTAATGACTTGGTTGAACTGTAGTATGATGAACTAGTTTGTCAGCGTAATTTTTATTTACCGCTTCATTGTCTTGGGTTGGCTTACTAAGATTTATTATTTTATTATTACCAACATTAAGGTTCCCAGTCATAGTTACAGTACCATCTTTTTCAAAATAATCACTCAAATCTGGGGCAGCTGTGTTATCATCAACATACTTTTTGTTTGCAGCATCTGTGTTTGATGTTGGAGTTGCGAGACCAATTATTTTTTTGTTTCCAAGATTTAGGTTATCAGTCATTGTTATACTTCCATCTTTTTTTACAAAAGAACTAGTATCAGGTATTGAGTCATCCACATACTTTTTGGTTGTTGCATCTGTGTCTGATGTTGGTGTTCTAAGGTTAATTATTTTTTTATTATCCATGTTTAGATTATTAGTCATTGTAGATGAACCATCACGGGCAACATACTTTAAATCTGTAAAAGCTAATGGTGTTGGTTGTTTGGGACCTGTTGGAGCTGGTAGATTTAATATTTGTTTATTATCCATATTCAGATTACCTTTCATTGGGTAAGATCCATCTCTGTCAAGAAATGTGTTGTCTACATAACCTTTTGTGGCTGGATCTTTAAGGTCTAGTGGTGTTTTAAGATTTGTAATTCGGTATGTATTTTTCATATCGATATTTGAATCAACTGTTAGCCTTGTTGACGTGAGTGATCCGCTGGATTTATCATCCACATACTTTTTGGTTGCTACGTCATCATTAGCTGTTGGTGTGCCAACTTTAATTATTTTATTATTATTCATGCTTAAATTACCAATCATTGTTCGGGAACCATTTCTGTCAAGAAATTTGCTGTCTGCGTATTGTTTTGTAGCCGGCTCATCTGCGTCATCCGGATGTTTGAGGTTAAGAATACGAAATTGATCCTTCATATCAATGTTTGAATCAACTGTTAATCGTGTTGTTGTGGGTGAACCACTGGAATTATCATCAACATACTTCTTTGTAGCAGCATCAGTATTAGAATTAGGTGCACCAACATTTGTGAGTCTTTTACCATTTATATCATAATTTCCATTTGTGGTTAGACTAAAACCAACTCCTGGAGCACCCTGAATTCCTTTAGCAAAAGGATGATCAAAAGATTGTTCGTTAAATATACCCATTTTTTATTTAATAGTTTATATTACTAGTAAAGTTTTTAGCAATACGTTTTCTAGGTTTATTAACATATAGAAATGTAAAGGGTTTTTTAGTTGCTTCTTTATATTTCTCTTTGTCAACTCCTAATTCGGATGATATTCTGTTTGCTTCCCTCGATGATGGAAATTCGTACAGACAGTAGTGAGAACAATTCAATCGAATATCCTTTGGAGTTTTGTAAAATGATTGACTGAGGTATATTACAGAGCAATTCTTATGTCGGCCTTGAATGAAATAATCAATAAGTTGTCTTTGGTTTTTATCACAAACGTAATCATCAAATATCACAAGTTTTTGGTTGTCTTCGTAATCCATTTCTGACACTGGAGTTATTTCATCGTTACTTACATGAAGTATTTCATAACCAAGTTTACTACTTAACTCCCTCATTTTTTGAATTAGCTTTTGATACTTATCCTGTTCTAGATTACGCGCGTAAAGATAAATCTCATCATAATACAATAGTGGTTTAATTAGCATATGGAACAATAAATTAGTCTTACCACTTCCACTGTTTCCACAGATTAACATTCGAAACGTATCCGCCGGCATAACGGGAAATAATTGTTTATATTTTTTATCCGGATCACTAGTACTATCATAGTTTGGTATTTCCATTTTTTATTTAATTAATAGATAAAATGGATATAAAAGAATACAAAAAACTTGCAAGAAATAAAATTGAAGCTGACGCTTTAACTCAACAGGTTAGAGATGTAATAAAAACAAAATGGCAAAAACAAGATATGCGGGAAGGTTTTAAAGAGACGTTTAAACCACTTATTAAATCTCAAGATAGCATTAAAAAAAGTATTGATGAGCAGCAAAACGCAACTATAGCACAACTTAAAAAAAAATCAACTTGCATTAACATCAGGATTGGAAAAAATTAATGAAACTAATTTAAGATTGGCTGAAATGAGAGAATTACCAGCTTTGGAAGGTGATTATGATGAACCTACAACATCTAGACCAAGATCACCTACACGTTATAACATTGAAAAAAATTTTGATAAAGTTGATTTAGAATTATTAGAAATTATGGGATATCGAAGACCAAATAATTTTTTTGGTACTGATATTGATAGACTTGAAGAAATACATAAAGAAGTAAAAAATAGTGTAAAAACTTTAACAGGAGAATTAGCTGGATTGAATAGAAAAAAACATAAAACAGAAATAGATAAAGCAGAAATAGATAATGTTAAAATGCAAAAAGATACTCTTCATAAATATAAAAACATTCTTAAACTTTATTTAGATTCACTTGAGTATAAAATGGGAGAAGGAATGATTTACTTTAACAACCCACATCAACTTCTAAACAGACTTGACTTACTCGGTGGTTCAATTCTTGCTGGTAATAATGGTGTGATACCTGAGTTTTCTCAAATAGCACATCTTCTCAACCAAATGAAAGTAATTACAAAAAAACAACTTAATGATTTACTAAAAAATTATATAGTTATTAAATAAAATGGAAGAACGAGCTATTCACATTTCTTCAATAAACAGAGAAAAAAGAGGAACAAGCAAACCTGGTGATTTTACTATTAAGTTTAATCCATCTTTAAAACTCGATCCTGATAAAACCCACCAACTTGCTCTTGATCGGCTGTCCATGACTTACTCTTGGTACAACATTAGAAGTGATTATGGAAACAATAAAATCAAATACACTCACGATGGAACCAACTGGCAAACAATTACTTTTACAGATGGAATGTATTCGTACTCAGATATTAATGATTACATTCATCAATATATGTCTCAAAAGTCTCATCACACAACAGATTCGGGTGGAAAGAAAACTTATTCAATTAATCTAACTTTTATACTATCTACCTATCGAGTTCTCATATCACTTGATGGTGTTTATCAACTTGATTTGAGAGGAACAGAATTTGGAGACCTGATTGGATTTGAAAAGAAACTTATTACAAAAACAGAGTATGGATCAAAACTACCAAATATCACAAATTCGATTGATGTGTTAAATATCAACACAAGCGCAATAACTGATAGCATTGTAAATGGAATAAATACAAATACCATTGCTGTGATACCAACTGATAATCTTACAAGGTCTTTTCCATTTACATTTGAACCTAAAAGACCATTGTATTGCCCTTTATCATCATTTTACATTGATGAAATGAGAATCTATGTGACGGACTCACTTGAAAGACCAGTAAATTTTAATGGTATTGATTGGTTTATGACTTTAATACTCCATTCAATGTAATATAATAAGGGAACCTTCGGTTCCCCTAACACCCCTCCCTCTAAAGAATATAAACATTAGATAAAAATGAGTCGACAATCAGAGTTTAAAATGAAACTTGACCCTGAATTGGGGAGATATACAAGACAACATATTTATGGTGAAGGAATGATGGATGTGTTTAAATCAGTTGGTTCAAAATTATTTGGAAAAACAGTCAAATCAGCTGTTAAAAAAGGAGCTTAAAAAGCAGTGACAGCAGCTGCAACAAAAACTGGTGAACATGTTGGTAAAAAGGCTGGTGATAAGATAGTGCAAATGTTATCAAAAGGCACTCCCTCCCAAAAACCCCCTGCTAAAAAAGTTAATTTTAATAAAAATGTTGAAACAATAACTCAACAAGAGATAGATCAAATGTTGAATAACCTTCTTAGTGGAGGTTCAACACGTAAGAGAAAATTATATAATTATTAAAATAAAATGAAGTCTTTTAGAAATCCAAAATATTTAGACAGATATGAGGATGTTGTTTTTGACCTGGAACAGACTCTAGATGCTGCTCCAGCAAATAACGCGCACCAAACTAAAACAGGTCTTAGATTTGTTGCTGATAATACAGGAGAATCCACTCCTTTTGATTGGTATAACGCACGATTATCAATGGATTTTAAAGTAAATAAACTGGCAGATGGGGGAAATATTGCTGTTGCTGACCATAACGGAATTGTAAATGGTAGTAACTCCTTTATAGAAAAATTAAGTATCCTAGCAAATGGACGAGAAGTTTATAGTTGTAATTATGCGAATCATGTTGTAAATATTAAAAATTTGCTTGAGTATAATCCTTCATATGCACAGAGTGTTGCTACAAACGAATTTTATTTTCTTGATACATCAAGACACGCAGAGGAAACAGAATTTACAATCAATAACACAAATGTTACTGGAGGAGCAAATGTTGTAAAAGGACGAGTTGCTAATTACAACAAAGGTTTCGCCGCAAGAAAATGACTATTAGGTGTATCAGCCACAGTAAACTGTGAAATTCCTCTTAATAGATATTCTTTCTTTGAAGCATTGGAAGATAAACTACTTCCTAATACAAAAATCGAACTAAACATCGAAATTGAAAAAGATGCAAATTTAATTTTTCAAGCCGCCGATAATTGTAGAGTTATTATAACAAGACTACAACTTTTTATTCCAAAACTTACGTTTAATTCAGAAGGGCAAAAGTTGTACATGGAAAATTACCTTAAACCTTACAAGTGGGTATATTTGAATGAAGTAGTTGAAAGGTCAAATAATACACAGCAACAGACAGGACATTTTAGAATTACAAATGCTATTTCAAAACCACGTCATGTATTTATTTTTGGAATTGATACGGCAAGAATTGATGCACAAACAGCAAATCCATTTTTATACGATACTTTTAATCTACCAAATAATGCTAATATATCAAGATGTTACCTGGAAGTTGCAAATGGAAACGAATACCCAGATATTCACTTTAAACCTTCTACAGATATGACAAGAGTTTTTAGAAATGTAATGTCATACGTCTATGCAAATAATGATTATCAAGGTGGAACATTACTTAATAGAAATAATTTCAAAACTTTATTTCCTTTTGTTTATTTTGACCTGACAAAACAAAAATGGATATCAAAGACGGTGTTACAAAACTAGCATTTCATTACGAATTAACTGCTAATCCAAACGCTGATTATAATATTTACGCATTAGTCTTACATGAAAGAGTAGCAGAAATATCACAACAAGATGGAAAACTATTGCTTAGGGCTTAGATTTAATATAATTCTATAAATAAATGACAACTTATATTGAATACGGTGTAACACTTACAGATGGACAAAAGTCAAAATTGGCTTCTGCAATATTAAATAAATCACCACTAACTCTTCGTTTAAAACATGGACATCTTCGAGGTTCTGATGAGTTAATGTTAACAAAAAGACAAATTTCTAAAATAAAAAAATCTATTTCAAATGGCACGGGATCAGATATAAAGATAAGTAAAACACAAATTAGACGTTCTGTAAAACATGGAGGAAACTTATTTTCATCACTTGCTTCTCTCGGAGCAAAAGTATTACCTTACGCAATAAAAGGAATTTCAAAAGCTGTTCCCGCATTAGCAACCGGTGCTGCTACTGCACTTGGAGAACTTGGAATAAATAAAATATTTGGAAAAGGAATTACAATCCCCCCAGAGTTTTTCCCAATGCTACCACCTCTTGTAAGAGAATTTACCAAATCACAAATAAATCAAATTAACAAAGCTTATCAAACAGGAGGTCGACTTGTTATCAAACCAACTCGTAAACAAATAGAAGGAGGATTTTTGGGAACTCTTGCATCTATTGGAATTCCAATGGCAATAAGTTTAGTATCTAAGATGTTTGGTGGGGGACTTCAGGTTGATAGACGTGGATCATCTAATACAGCAAATGTTTACGTTCCACCCTCACATGGAGAAGGGTATCCTTATCGCTCACCACCCTTTATTGGTATATGGGAAAACCCAATTGGAATGGGGGTTAAAAAAAAAAAGTCCAAGTCCAAAGGAAAAGGTCTACTACTAGGAAAAAACAGCCCATTCAACTCAATTCCCATTCTCGGCACCATTTTTTAATTAAACCTCTATCCAACTTTGACCTTATGGATTGGATAAAAAGACTTGGTATTAAACATTTTAGAGGAATATATAGCCGTAATGGACTACCTAATAAGATGCGTAAAGAATGTGGAATAATTAATCTCGATGACATGACTGGCCCTGGCACGCATTGGGTTTGTTATAGAAATATAAACAATATAGTCGAGTACTTCGATCCATTTGGACTGATAATGCCAAATGAAGCATTAGAGTATTTTCATACTTCTGGAAAACGTATAGTTTACTCAATGGATGAAATACAAAATCGAAAAACTGTTCTCTGTGGTTATTGGTGTTTATATTATTTATTTGAGCGACAACGTGGAACTAGTATTTTAGATGTAATACATAACCCACATTTTGATGATGACAACAGTGATTTTATAAAATCGTACTTTGGAGGATAAATATAATATTTATTAAATATTATATTTTAAAACTTACTTCATATATTTGTCCATAATTAGAGTAAAATATAACACTTTTAATTTCTTCTTCATCTTCTATATTAAAAATATCCTTAAACCAATCTATAATAAATTTTTCACATTTATCTTTCTCATTAGATATGACTTCCATTCTTTTTATATTTACTTTTTAAACTTTAAATCATTTTTATTCACTACCAACTGGTGTATTTTTTAGTGATTTAACCTTTTCAACTTTTTTTTTAGATCTTTAACACTATCAACTATTTCAATAAAGTTTGTGTAAATGTCAATAAGTCGATAAAGTTTTTTCTTTTTATCACTATTTAACTGCAACCAAGAATATTCCTCATTTCTAATCTTTTTCCACATCTCACATTCACTAGCCATTAGCACTCTAGAAAGATCTTCGTTTTTCTTTCTAATAGTCTCCAACTCATTATATATTTTTGTTCGCACTTCTTTCTCAAAATCCTTGATTGTTTTAACATCCATATTTTTCTCTATCTCGGAAAAGAATTTGGCTTCCATTTATTATATAAACAGATAATTACCTCTTATAATATTATTAAGTCTAATTGTTTTCTCTTTTAATTCCATAATCAACTCAAATATTTTTAAAAATCGAGTATCATTTTCCATTCTACAAAATGTAGTATTTTCATAACTCATTTTTAAATTATTATATATATTGTCAAGTTCACTTTTAACAAAAATAGATCTAGTAGACATATTTTATCTAAACATTATATTAAATGAAAGAATCATATTGCATTGTAGATAAAAGAGTAACTCCTTGTACAGAGCCAAGTGGTTACCAAACTGATAAAAGAGGTAGAACTCAATTTTACTGTAGATGTGCAGTTTGTGGAAATAAAAAAGTTAGATATGTCAAAACTGGATCTGCTTCTCAAACTGGAAGTGGAAAAAAGAGAAAAAGAAAGTCAAAAAACTAATCAGCCCGTCTGGGAGGGCGGGCAAAGGTATTTCTGATGCTTTTGGCCCAATTAAAACAGGAATAAATGTGGGTCAAAAAATTTCAGAAACCTTGTTTCCTCAAACAAAACAAGTATTCAAAGATTATTGGTCTGGTGATATTGCTAAAGGTGTTGTTAATTCAGAAGATGGAATATTTACTTCCAATTTCTGGACAGGTAAAACAACTGTGTTTCGTTATGATGGTAAAAAATTTTATTTAAAAGAAGAAGAACCCATAATGGTTGTCAAGAAAAATGGCAAACAAATTGGGTATGTTCATGTAAGAGATTTTTTCAGTGGTGGATTAGGAACCAACAAAATTTACAAATCTGTAGCGGAAGTTAAAAATAAATATGGTTCAGGTCTTTTTGACACAGTAGTTGGTACAGCAGTTGATGGTTTTGTTCATTACGGTTTACCTTGGATGGGTAAGAAAGCAGTTGAAATGGGACGATATGGAGCAAGTGAGTTAATGAGAAATAAAAATCTTCAGAAAAAAGCAGTAAATTATGGGATTAATAAACTCACTCCATTTATTCAAGATTCTGTTGGATCAGCAATGGAAGAACTATCAACAAAAGTGAGACCAAAGAAAAAGTATAAAACTGATAGACCAGAATTAGATGGGAGAGGAATAGATATTCACAAGCAGATTAGTAAATTACCAATACCAAAAGGTGGATGGACCTTGCCAGGACATAATTATACAGGTCCTTATAATGATCTCGAAAACCAAGTAAGATACAATCCGGAAACTGGTAAAATATTAGAAATTTACGATCAACCAACTGGACCAACCGATGCTGTAGCCATGCAGCATGATGTTGATTATAGTGTTTGTGGTGATGACCGAAAGTGTAAAAATAAAGCTGATAGAAAAATGGTAAAATCATTGGATGCTATTCCTTGGAAAGAAAGACAATGGGGACATTGGTTGACTAGAACTATTATAAACACAAAACAAAAACTTGGAATGGGAACAAAAAACGTAAAGCGGCGTTGAGTAGTGATTGGTCTCAACAATTAGCCGACGAACTTCACAAACCAATCACACGAAACTTTCAAAAGAGATCAGTAATCTCAAATGGGATTGATGAAATCTGGGCTGCTGATTTAGTTGAAATGCAAAAGTTTAGTAAGTGGAATAAAGGGATTAAATATCTTCTGATGGTTATTGATGTGTTTAGCAAATATGGTTGGATTAGGGGATTAAAAGATAAGAAAACTGAAACTGTTAGTAAAGCATTTGAATATATATTCAAAAGTAAACGTAAACCTCAAATGTTATGGACTGATAAAGGTTCTGAGTTTATAAGTAAACATTTCAAAGATTTTCTAAAAAGAGAGGGAATCAAACTATATCACACTGAAAACGAAGAAAAATCTAGTGTTGTTGAAAGATGGAATAAAACAATGAAAAACAGAATGTGGAAAATGTTTACAGTTAATAACAACACTGTTTACTGGGATAAGTTAGATAAACTAGTTAATGATTACAATAATTCGAGTCATTCTAGTATAAAAATGACTCCTGTTGAAGCAAGTAAAAATAAAAATAAAAAAATAGTTTGGTCTAATTTGTATGGCGAATCTATTTACTTGAAACCTGGCAAATCAAAGTTTGCAATTGGTGATCGTGTTAGAATTTCTAAGTATAAGAGAAAGGTATTTGATAAAGGCTACACACCAAACTGGACAGAGGAGATATTTGTGATTAATAAAGTTTTACCAACAAAACCTATTACATATAGCATTGTTGATTTGATGGGAGAAGAGATTAAAGGTTCTTTCTACAAGCAAGAATTACAGAAAGCAAAACAACAAACATTTAGAATAGAAAAAATTATCAGACGAGATAATAAGAAAAAAATGGCATTAGTAAAATGGAGTGGATATCCTGATATATTTAACTCATGGGTGAGTTTGAAGGATTTGGTTGATTTTTAATACAAAATTTGTATTAAAAATAGTTATTTACTCTTTTTCTTCTTTATCAGATAAAAGTAAGTCTTCAACTACTTGATCAGTTATCTCTTCACCTTTACTATCACTATCACTATCACTATCACTACTTTTTTCGTCAATTGTAAGTAAACTCTTTCTAGGTTCTAATTGTTTAACATAGCACTCATGTACTTTTATTTGTAATGATGTTACAGTCTTACTTATAAAAATTCCTTCAATTATCAAAGCCAATTTAACATTACAATACTGATCAATATATTTAAAAGGATTTAAATCGCGACCTCCCTTTCCCTTAAACAAAGATAAAATTTTTCTTGATTTTTCTGAATAAATAAGTTTTGCGTAAAGAACTGGTGAGGATGATTCATCAACTTTTGTTCTCTTTTTTCCTTTCTTATCTGTATATTCTATCTGTTTGAAGTAAAATGGCGAAGATAGAGTTGATGCTAGATCGGGTCCATATTCTTTCTCTAAATGTTGTTTAGATAGAGTTACTACATTATTAATAACATCAAAAAATGCTTTTTCTTTATTACTTGGCACACTATCTTTAGCCCAAAGACATACTGGAATACTATAACCTACTAACTTGTTTGTTTCTTGATTTTTCTTTTCATTAACACCAAAACTGAAAAGAACTGGAGATTCTAATACTAAAGCTCCTTTCTTTCCATTTGTATATTTAATTTCAATTGGAATACGTTTGTATTTAATCTTGCTATCTTTGACTTTGTACTCTTTAGCTTCATTAAAGATAATATTCTCTTGGGTAATATTTTCGTAACTAGACAACTGCATTTTTTATTATAATAATTTAATCTTTAAGCTATTTATTTGCAATTTCAACTTCTATAGCATATAGTCTTTCTGAAATTTCTTTTAATCCTTCTTCTAAAACTTTTATAAGTTCTTTTTTAAAATTATTATCAAAATAATTATTATTAAGATGATTATTATTTAAATCAATATCATTAGGAAGACTATTTAAACCAACAATACCATTTGAACTCATTTTATTATTTTTTTTATTTTTTTAAATCATTTTTTAGGCCAAAGTAAATGAACAGACCAATAGTTACTCGATTCTGGATTAGTATAAGTTAATTCTCCCTGTTTATTTTTTATCTTTGTAGCTCTAGAAAGATATTTATCTCTTCGCTCTTTCTCTTTGTGAATAGTGTAGTCTGGATATTTTGGTGATCCAAAATGAACTTTTTTCCCACCTGGAAGTGTGGCCATGTATTTGTTATTTTTTCGGGTTGAATAATCAAGTGATTCAGCACCAAGCTTTTTAGCATTTCTGGTTAATTTTTTAAACTCAGATCCAGTAACAACATATTTTTCGTTTGGAACATAATCTGGATCCTCATCATGTCTATAACCATCATCAACTATAAAATCCAAATCCTCTTTTGTAGGAGTAGTTTCTCTCGATCTTGGTTCCATTTTTATTAGTTAGTTATATTAATCCTAATTCTTTTTTAAACTTTTGTTCCCTTCTGTATATTTCCTCATTTCCTATTTCTTTTACTTGCTCTGGTGTATACATATGATTAAACATAAGATATTTACAAAAAGGATCTAATGACTCATCATTTCCAAGAGATTTAATAACTTCAACAATACACATCTTTGAAGTATTAACAAAACCATCTAAATAACTACAAAGATAATTTATTTCATATTTATCTTCTTCCATAGGAATTTTGTTAGGATTAATAATATAACCCATACTATTAAGAATACTGTAATATCTATATAAATTTTTTGCATAAATAATCTTATCATCATCACCACTCTCTTTTAATTTTTTTATTGATTCAAAAATTGTTTTTTTTCTTATTTTCTCTGTACAACCAACCTCAACTTTACATCCCATATTTTCAAATTCTTTTAATAAAGTATCCATTTATATAATGTTTGGAATAAACTAAATTTTGATGGGGGGAAAAGATTAACATTTAGTATTTTATAGCAATCTTTAGAATATTTCTCAACTACCTCTTTTTTACTAAAACCTTCTTCTCTAATTTCTGGATTTGGATATTTTTGTAAAATTTCATATAATGAATGATCTTTATTGTTTTTAATTTGTTTTATTTTTTCTTCAAATGTATAAACAGTGCTATCAACATAAACTTGTTTTTCAGGAAAATGAATTGAATAAACTTTAATATCATCCATTTTTTTAATTTAAATTTTGTTTTCTTTTAAATCATTTTAAAACTTGTAACAAAAATGTTATAAGTTTAGAAATTATTACAAAAATCTTCAATATCACTGTCAGTATATAAAATATTTAATTCCTCACTATCACTATCACTATCACTATCTTCATACTCAATGTTAAGCTTACTAAAAAATAATTCAAAATAGTAATAAATATTTTCAAAACCAGGATAAGGATCATCAACATCATCAGCATCACTATCTTCATCATCATCATCAACATCACTACTTTCTTTTAAAGCATCGTAACGTATTTTATAATAATAAAAATTATCTTTAATTTTAATCAAATAATCAACAACATCCTCATAAATAACAAATTCACTAATATTCTTAAGTTTACCTTTTTCTTGTCCTCTCAAAAATCTTTTAATTAAATAACATAATCTATCAGATCTTTTACTTTTAAATAATCCATTATTTATCTCATCAAGGTGATTATAAAAATACTTAAATTCTTTATTTAATCCTCTTATTTGATATTCTTTTTTGTAGTCTCTTGCAAATTCTGGGATTTTATTATTTGATAAATTAACGAAAGTATTTAATTCTGGGACGCGGTGTACAATACCCGTTTTCATAACTACTAAAGAACGGAAATTAAAGCGACTATTAAAGCAATTATGGGGAGTAATTCTCTGAAAATATTTTTTCTTTCTATTAAATTCAACAAATTGTCTTCTTTCTGATTGGGAATGAGTCACAGAGAAGTCAGTATAAAAACTACACTCTTTTCGTTTTACACAACCTTTAGAATGTTGTTTTTCTAGCCCAGGCTGAACATTCTTATATTATTCTTGAAATATAGCTTATAACTTTTCCATTTTAGAATGCAAATGGGCATCAATTACGGTTACTGCAGGTTTCTCGTTTTGATGGCTCGTTTTGGAATTATTTTAAATGGTTAAGTTTCAAAAACGTAACTGTACCGTATTTACAGCCGGATTCTCAACACACAAAATGAAATCCTTTTCAAAATATCAGCCTTGGGTTTATTCGTAAAATATACTTAAATTTCGCAGATTTCAGCCTCGATATTCTTATAAAATAAAAAATACATATATTCTTATGTAGAAAAAGAGTGCAAAGCATTTACACAGTGCTCACATCACAGTCTATCGCGATTTTTGCAGGATTTAGTTATTATCTTACCTGCAAAACTGCGCCGAAACTCTGAACTCCTTACCCGTTTTAAGAAGAGAGCCAAATGATAGATTATTCTCCTGAGTGACTTTCATATATTTGCCAAATTATTCCGCGTATCAAAAAACCGTAAATTTGACATGCCCAATTTGACGACTAATTTAAAGCAAATGGACAACAATCTCCGGTCTTGTCATGGGCCATGGGACCAAAGGGTAAAATTATCCCCCTCTTCTGCGGGGGTTAATACGCCTAGGTTGAGTATCAATGATTTGCTCGAGGTGGTCGAAGAAGGCCGCGGATTATTGCAATCAAGCCTTAGCGACTTCAGATTATTAAAGCTACTTTGCCTGCAAAAATACACTCTGAATGAAACTCTGAACTTCTGCACCGCTCGAGGAACTGGTAGCCAAATAATAGATTATATTCTGCTGAGTGACAATTACATATTTCAAACTTATCATGCGCATCAAAAATCGCTAAATTTGACATGCCATATTAGGCGAACTAATTACAATCAAATTGCTCTTTCTTTCGTTATTAAATGATAGTGTAGTTTGCCTTTTCCTCTGCTCAGGATCTGATCTGACATTTTCCCAAGGAACGTCTCTGGTGGGCCCGGGTTCTCACGTTTAGAATAGGGTGGTGCTGTGGGCGTTTACCACAGAAGGCGGGCTTGTAAATAATATTGTGCTTGAGCGCGGTAAACTTATTCAAGTAAATCAACCGAGATCAATACAACACCGAATGAAATTTGTTCACGATAGCCTTTCCTGACCCGAAAAACATTTTGGTTCGACTCTGCTTTAAGGATGGTTGCTGACCGAAGTCATTATATACTTTCTTCCCCAACAAATTTAACTAGACGAATATGGTTCCATGCCTCCAATGAAAGTAAATTGAATATGATCTTCTGGTTACATAATTATTGGCCAATTCACACGTTCACGCACGAAAGTTCAGTGATAATTTGCAGTTTAGCGCCTAAAAATCCATCACACGAGGTTTTACAAAAAGTTGGCTCATTTAATTTTCACTTTCAGTTGTTGTTGTTGATGTTGTTTTTATTTCAATGAAGGTATAATGTCTCGATCTCTTTTCGTTATTATATCCTATTAAGTAACTTTTGGATAATGCCATCTGATATTTAAAACGTATTTTACATAAAGAGGAAAAAGGCCGGACACATCATCATCGTCGTTTTCATTCAATGCTGGTGTTTAAAAGTTCGTAGGAATTGCTTTGAATATAAAGGCGAAACCCCGCGTCAATTTTTTTCGGTTTTTCTCAATCTGCTGACGACCCACTTCTATGAAAGAGCGGGAGGCATGAGGCGAAACGCTTTATGGACAAGGCCAGAAGCCGATTTTGACGAAGCGTTGTACAAACAGAATACAGTTAACTTTTTAAAAAATATACATAAGCACTTTTCATTTGGGAATTAATTTGTTTCTGTAATCATAATGAGTGGTCTCAGTTTTAATAACGATAACATTTTAGCAAAAATTTGATATAATAAGTGTTTTGGGGGACGGACTGATGAGAATGATACAACTGAAAATTAAGCCCCATTTACACGGCAGAAAAATTTTGGCGCGGCTTGGATGAAAGTGGTACGTGTACCAAAAAGATAGTACTGATTACTCATTTACACGTTCTTTTTTCTACCGTGCTAAACGATGTGAAATTATGATTTGGTACGGGTAAAAGGCTCAACATCTCGGCCAGCGTACTCGATTCTTGCCTAGTGCGCATGCTGCTTCCTGTGTAAAAACATGGCGGACGAAAAGTTCATTAGAATTCCCACGGCCGCATGTAGTCTACGCACAAGGAACAAATGGGTGGTCATTGAATACTGGTGCGGTTATTGAATTATTGTGTGGTTATTGAACACACTGAACTAACGAAAAAGTATTTACCACTTAGTTAATGCTACACATTTATATTAAAAAATTCTAACGTATTTGTGGCTATTTCCCCCGCAGCTGCATGTTGTCCACGCTCATCAGTGAACTAACGTGTGGTCATTGAACTACTGTCGTGTTTATTGAACTTTTGGTTTATATTGAACTAACGAAAAAGCTCATCTGTACATGCTCTCCCACATTGGTGCTGACCAAAGGCACGAAGGCTCATCAGAGAAAAGTTAGCTCGGCACGGCTAATCGTTTACACTGCACACTTTATCCGAGCTGGGCTAGATTTTCAGGATCGCGTACCAGTTTTATCCGTGCTCGGACTACCTCTCGACATGGTCCGAGCACGGGTGAAATTTTGGTCCGGCACGGATGGGCCAAAGTCGTTTACACGACTAAATCTATCCGTGCCGAACCAATTTTTTTGGTACGCGTACTTTTTTCATCCGAGCCGTGCCAAAAGTTTTCGGCCGTGTAAATGGGGCTTAAAGAAAAATATCGCAATCACACACTGATTACATTGCAATCGACCGAATATTGTAGAGGGCACTGGAAATGTCTTACCTGGAAAACTGTGGTGAAATTCTAAAACGTCTGATCTGTTTGAAGAAGGAAGCCTTATGACAGATTATTCCGTTGAATGACTTTCATAATATTTTCCAAAACGTCGCTACGCGTAGCTTTGACATGCCTTGTTTGGCGACCAATTAAACCACAAGATAAGCAAATGGACAATGAATCTTTACGTTCCTTTCAATAATAAATAATAACAATAATAATAGTAATGATAATAGAAATGATAACGATAAGGTCTTTTTATTCCATTATTTTATGACCAATACTGATATTTATATCATATTGCCTTGTGGAACCAATAACATGGGCGTAATTTGTTCATCTAGTCACCTACCTTCTGCCCACCTACTGCTTATTATAACCTGCGATTAGGCGGTCCCTCTTCCCTTTTGTTTGGAAGACAAGGGGAAAAGGACGCCAGATACATTTACTCCACACGTCGTCTCGTGCCCGAAGTCAAGACGGCTGGACTTTCGTCTGATTGGTCGATAAATAAAAGATCCTTCGAAGCCTGCACCGGTTGGTTTCAAGGAACATATCTGACTTCCGGTGCAATCGGACAGGTCTTATCACCTTCGTCTCT